TATATGAACGGCAAAGAATACCCCATAAATATATATATATTGGAAGCTTATTAACAACTTTCTTTACAATGTTGAATATCTGTACATGAAAAGAGAGATATACACAATGCGAAAACGAATAGATAACTTGTTGATATACACAAACCAACATACACAACACAGTTCTAATAAACTAACAATAGCAATCGTATATTGTACAAAACGCACCTTCGAGAGATTCCTCTGTATGAGGGTTAGCGGCCATTTCCGCCTTCAAGAACTGGCAAATGGCAAAGGCCAACTTTGTTTTTGTTTCAGACTTCGACATTCTGGCAAAAGACGTGGTACGAAAGTGTATACAATCCTGTGTTTGTCTACATATGCCTCACAAAACAAGTGTTACATATAAATACAAATGGAAATGATCCCGAGGCCCAGGCCCCAGCAAATGAAGGATGTGTGATTTTTTTGCGGAAACATCTACACGCGCAGGATCCTCACAGCCCACAGGGTTTGAGGGTTCTAGGGTTTTAGGGTGGTGAGATATAAATAACTCTCTACGAACATCCAACATACAACTCTACGAGCCACTGCAACTAAAATATGCTTTTATGGATGTGCCAAGATGATATATATGTATATATCAAAATAAATAAGGTCTATTCTATACATTGAATAGTGGATATTGTATTCACACTTTCTCCCCAGGGATTGTATTTATCATATACGAAGTACTGCGTTGACCGAGGCAAGAACAATTGACGGCCGTGTCCTCACTGAATAGACCACAATCATGGCCGAGTATGTTGATTTCTGCACTTGGCTACATGTCACATGCCCTTGTCGGTGTACCATAGCTGCGGTATTTAGTCACTGTGCCAACACCCCACACTCTGTAAAGTATCAAGTTTATAATTCTATAGTATAAGTGAGTGCAGTCATCATGTATTTTATAGTATTATTTTGTGTGTGCTAAAATTGTCCACTTTAAACACGGTCGTATGTGCCCTGATATATTGAAACATACTTGGAATGGACATGGGGATTGGTATCTTTTATCGTTCCATCAACCTCATATACTACGAAATCAGAATCTACACACACACGCAAACGCACAAGCACACACACGCACAAAAACACACAATATATA